CTGGTTAAGAGGAAGGGGCGGTGAAGGGGAGTGGGTGGTTAAGGGTAAGGGAAAAGGGCGGTTAAGGGGAAGGGGCGGTTAGGGAAAGGGCGGTTAAGGGGAAGGGGCGATTAAGGGAAAGGGGCGGTGAAGGGGAGTGGGTGGTTAAGGGGAAGGGGCGGTGAAGGGAAAGGGGCGGTGAAGGGAAAGGGGCGGTTAGGGAAAAGGGCGGTTAAGGGGAAGGGGCGGTTAGGGAAAAGGCGGTTAAGGGGAAGGGGCGGTTAAGGGGAAGGGGCGGTGAAGGGGAGTGGGTGGTTAAGGGAAAAGGGCGGTAAGGGGGAAGGGGCGATTAAGGGAAAAGGGCGGTTAAGGGGAAGGGGCGGTGAAGGGGAGTGGGTGGTTAAGGGGAAGGGGCGGTTAGGGAAAGGGCGGTTAAGGGAAAAGGGCGGTGAAGGGGAAGGGGCGGTTAGGGAAAAGGGCGGTTAAGGGAAAAGGGCGGTTAAGGGGAAGGGGCGGTGAAGGGGAAAGGGCGGTTAGGGAAAAGGGCGGTGAAGGGGAAGGGGCGGTGAAGGGAAAAGGGTGGTTAAGAGGAAGGGGCGATTAAGGGAAAGGGGCGGTGAAGGGGGAGTGGGCGGGCAAGGGGAATGGGCGGATGGGAGGTAGAGTTAGGGGGGGGTAAGACGGATAAGGGTAAGGGGTAAGGGAGGAGGAGGGTGGGTAGAGGAGACGGTAAGGGGTGAGAGTAAGAGAGGTGAGGGGTGGGGGAAGGGGAGAGGGTAAGGGGGGTTTGGGGAGTGGGGGGTAAAGGGTGAGGGTAAGAGGTGGTAGTGAGGAGTAAGGGAAGAGAGAGGGGGGAATTTGGGTGATAGGTAAGAGGCAGTTGAACAGAGGAAGGGAAACGTGGAATAGTGGGTAAGAGAAAAGGTAAGGGAGAAGGGGAAATTTTAGGGTCGTGGGGAAGTGAGAGAGCGAGAAAAGGGAAATTTAGGGTAATGGGTAAGAGGTAAGATGCGAGTACATAATGGTTTTGGGGAGCGAGAGGGAAGCGGGGGGGGGGGAGATGGGCAAGGGAGAAAGGACAAGGCAAGGTCAGGGCGTTAAGGTCGGCCCTGGCGGGGTTCCCTTGCTTTGAGAAACTGCGGGCGGCGGAGGTGGGGGGGGGGGAGGAGAGGAAATAGGGAAGGAGAATAGAAGATGTTTGGGTCTGTAGGTGGGTGGGGGCGGATGGGGGGGGGAGGGGTTAGTCTATGCCCTGACACGACATTCAGAATTGTTTTTCATATGTTATGTTTTTGTTTGGTTGTTTGTTTTACGTTGCTTTGTTTCTGTGTTTTTTGCGTATAGCAGTGGGGGGGGGGGGGGTGTCGAAGTATATATTTTGGAAAAGAAATTGCTATTATATATTTTTCTGTGATTCCCCCCCCCCCTGAATATTTATACTAGATTATTTGTTTCTTGGTTGATAATCATTCAATTACGTGAGCATTGAAGAATGATAGTGATAGTGCCGTCTTCATGTCGAATGTTTGATCATAAATTACTTCAGGAAATGTAGGCATATGAATGTTTGAATCCTATGTATAATATGATTATACACACACACACATACACACACACACACACACACACACACACACACACACACACACACACACACACACATATATATATATATATATATATGTGTGTGTGTGTGTGTGTGTGTGTGTGTGTGTGTGTGTGTGTGTGTGTCTGTGGCTGTTATTATATGAGCGCGAATTATCTCTTGTTATCAGCTGATATAACGGAACATTGGTATGTCTTTCTAATGTAAACAAGACTTGCCGTTACCATGGCAACGGGTCTTACTTCAATCTCTTAATCTGTTGACGAGAATGCTGCTGCCACTGCTACTGCTACGACTACTATGACTACGATTAGCACTACTACTATGACTAGTTCGACTACTACTACTTTTATTACTACTACTACTTCTACTACTACTGCCACTGCTACTTCTGCTGCTGCTGCTGCTTCTACTTCTACTGCGGTTACTACTACTATTACTACTACTATTACTACTACTATTACTACTACTACTACTACTGCTGCTGCTTCTACTTCTACTTCTACTTCTACTTCTACCTCTACTTCTACCGTGGCTACTACGACTACGACTACTACTATTACTACTACTACTACTGCTGCTGCTGCTGCTGCTGCTGCTGCTTCTACTTCTACTGTGGCTACTATGACTACTATTACTACTACTACGACTACTACTACTTACTACTACTACTACTATTACTACTACTACTATTACTACTACTACTATTACTACTACTACTATTACTACTACTACTACTACTATTACTACTACTACTATTACTACTACTACTACTACTACTACTACTACTATTACTACTACTACTACTGCTGCTGCTGCTGCTGCTGCTGCTGCTGCTGCTGCTGCTGCTTCTACTTCTACTTCTACTTCTACTGTGGCTACTATGACTACTATTACTACTACTACTACAACTATTACTATTACTACGAATACTACAACTACTATTACTACTACTACTTCTACTACTACTGCTACTGCTGCTGCTTCTACTTCTACTGTGGCTACTATGACTACTACTACTACTACTACTACTGCTGCTGCTTCTACTTCTACTTCTACTGTGGCTACTATGACTACTATTACTACTACTACTACTGCTGCTGCTTCTACTTCTACTGCGGTTACTACTACTACTACTGCTGCTGCTGCTGCTTCTACTTCTACACTACTATACTGCTGCTGCTGCTTCTACTTCTACTGTGGCTACTATGACTACTATTACTACTATTGCGACTACTACTACTTCTACTACTACTACTACTACTACTACTACTACTACAACTACGACTGCTATTGCTACTATTGCTGCTACTGCATCTATACATCGAATATCATTCTCCATTAAATATATGCCTGTAGACCGGTCGGTTGCAGCATATACTAAGGCTTTATGTATATACATATACATATATATATATATATATATATATATATATATATATATATATATATATATAATACCTGATTTCTCCTGGGCGTTGACGAGGTTGAGTGTTTTTTTTGTTTTTTTTTTAGTTAAACACGAAGAAAACGCAAGCAAATAATAAAAAATGATGTAAAAAAAGAATACACGAAGACCAAGTTCCCTCTACACACTAAGCTGCTTTCGTATATGACTCTCGGCGACCATAGATTTAGTTCAGTTTCTGTGACGTTCAAGACACAGCGTTGTTGTTAACCAGGTCGATGCCCTTGGTTTCTACGCAGCCTCCCCATTCCATCGTCATTTGTAAGATTAATGAGACCTGATTACCTTTTAATTGTGACTTTCGCACCTGGTGTTGTTTTGATAATGATGACTCGGTTTCCCTCGGGCTTCTCTCGATTGTTTATTTTAGATTTTGGTAAATAATGCGGATTGCTGGAGTTTATTTGTTGGTTGTGGTGGTCTGGCTGTGATAGTGTGGTTCTCTCCCTCCAACGCGGGCGGGTTATTTTAATAAGTCTGTCATGTCTGAAAGAACTGTGCGAAATATTTGATATCTCTGAATTAATGTTGATGTTACTTTTATTTTTCCTCCTCGTACTGCTACTATTATTATTACTAATGATGATATGATGATAATGATAATCCTGATAATAATGAAAATAATAGATGGTGTTCATATTGCTATGGTTATTTTATTATCATTATAATCATTATTATTATTGTTGTTGTTGTTGTTGTTACTTCTAATGATACTACTATTAACATTACTAATACTATTATAACTGAAGCATATTAATGATACTACTATTAACATTACTAATACTATTATAACTGAAGCATATTTAACTTCTTATTAATTTTTTACAGTTTCATGCGTGAGATTGCAGCCCTTGTTACTGTATCTTCCTTGTCTCTTCATTTGTTTGTTTTCTCTTCCTTCCCTTCCGGTGATGTTTCTTTTGTTTGTGTTCCTATTTT